TAGACAGTCGTGTAGAATTATCAGCAAAGTTCTAAACGTAACCGGGGAACTTTCAGCAACATTTGTTTCCCACAACAAGCTTTACTCAGCCTGCTTTGCATTGCCAGCAGCCAAGGAATTACCACGTTGCTGACCTCATTTTCCCACAAGAACAATTCCTGCAGCCACATCCACCTTCTGAAAATGCAATGAACATATGAGACAGTCACAGGCCAAGTGCTGCCACCTGCTGGATATATTGCTAACAAGCATTTGATTGAACTGCAAAAAAAAATGACATCTGTCCACAATAGATTGCAATTGGCCTTCTTGGGTAGGAAATAAATTAGATTGGTTTTAGGCCACGGTAAGGAAGCAAAATAAAATACGGGATCATGTGCGGTAATAGATAAGCACCAATTTTTTGTTTTTTAAGGTAGACCTGTCAGTCTGACCAATAATTATATTATCGAGTCATAATCCACTATATTTTTTCTCGCTAGGACCAGGGACATAACAGGAACTGTTGGGGTAATCTACAACATATTTATCATAGCAAATACAGCTACGCCATTCTGTCAGGTGCAATCCTGGCCGCTTGGGGTTCAATGAGTTGAATGCTCACTTTCCAAGGTTAATATTCACTCTGCAAAATGAATGTTAGTAAATAGGGTGAATGTGTGTTTGACTACATAATAATGTGCAAAGAAGATTTAAAAAAAACAAAACAGGGTTTTTGCTTGTACGTTGTTTACTAAGATCAGTGAGTATTCTATTTTTGATGTGAAGAACTTCTACTCCTAAAGGAATATAAAATGTTCACTTTTCACAGCGAGTGTTGACTTAGTGAATAAGGTGAAGCTGCATTTCCTTTAATCATCCAACCCTGTGCAAGCAAAATCCTGTTCTTTCCCCCTTAGACATGATTGGGTATTCAAAGTGAATATAGTTTTATTACATATATATATATATTTATTGCCTCCTATCACAGTCCGGCAGAACGGTGTGGGGGCGGAGACAGCTCTGTCACAGGAGGCTGGGCTCTCCTCCCTGTTCCGCTTGCTCAGCCTCCTGTGACAGCGTGTCAGAGAGGAGAGCCAATGCAAACACTCAGCGATTAGCCAACAGCCCTTCCTCAGGGCAAATATAGCTAGTTGGTAGTTGGTCTGATGATGGCTTTTTATCTGAAACCATTGTGATGTTATATATGTTCTATGTAACATAGTAAATTATTATTAAAGTGATATTAAAGTCAAAGGGATTTTAATCTATTTCAAATGCTGATGAAATCACTTACAATGGATGCTGCTCCTTGATGTTTAAGAGTTTTAGCTTCCTGCTGTCAGCTGGTCCCCTGAGCACTGGTCCTGATGCTCCTTTCCATTGCAGGGTCCTATGGGGCAACCCTTGTGTGCGCTAGTAAGCGTTGTGTGTCCCCACAAACACTCAGGCACGGCAGGGTAAGACACTTCCTTCTCCTCCTTCCTTCACCAAGCTAGTAGATGAAAAATTGCTGGAGTCTACTCTGTGATCATGTACTGGACAGGAAGTTCAGGGAAGCTGAGCTGAAAGAATTGGAGCTGTTTGGAAACATGATGGCTGTAAGCGCTTGGGCAAAAATGTAAAGAAATACTTTTCTGGGCAATGTATATTTGTTTGATCTGGATTCATTATTGAAAAAAAGTTTGAAAGTTTAATACTACTTTAAGTCCTGCAAGCCCTGTTTGTGTATATACAGGATAGATAGATAGATAGATAGATAGATAGATAGATAGATAGATAGATAGATAGATAGATAGATAGATAGATAGACATATATATCTATATCTATCTATGTCTATCTGTTTTCACCATATTGAAGACATAAAAGGGTAATCACCCCATTAACACGTCAGTGACAAGCCTGCTCTGGAATAGCCCGGTGCAAGGAACATCATTCTGGACTCATAAGACATCTCTGACGTACTTGCATAATTCGTTTTGTAACCAGGAAGTACAGACAGCTTTTAGGTCACAAGCAATGTAGTAATATCCCATAAGATAAAACATTGGGACAATAAAACATAACATACTTTTTTTAAATGTCATTTCTATAAATAGCGCCTGCACTCTAAATTCCCCATCCGTTCCCATATGCCAATTCAGTGAAGATGATGAATTATTACCAAATACATTGTTCCAGAATTTTTTTTAAATTGTTTCTCCGTTCTCTATGGGAACGTTTCTCAGACTCCCGCCTCCTATTAATTATATTATGGTGACTAGGCAACGCCATCCATTTAATACCTGTCGCCAAAACACATCAAAATGACTGCTTCATGTTTTTTGATGCATTGCCATTTACCTCTATGAGCCTCCCAACACACTGAAAACACAAAAAAAGGATGTATTTTCCCCCAAAAAGTGCAAACGTGAACAGACACTTTTCTTTATCATGGGATAGTTGGACACATAGCAACCCTGTGCATCAAAACGTGACTTCACAAGGGCATTTAAAGCAGAACTCTGGGCAAAACAAATTGTAACCCCTGCAGTGGGGCTGCCCTGGTACTGCAAAGGTTAAGTGCTCGTTTTGTCTAGGGAGATAAAATAACAAAGTTCTACTCACTTGAACCGTAACTCTGCCTCAGTCTTAGACCGGTGCCTCCAGCCTCGCTCCCCCTTTTCTGTTTCCATTGACTTGTATGGGGAGAGAAACGGCTTTGATTGGAACATAAGCCAGACACAGACGTAGGGATGTATGGGCCCTCGGATCGGACCACTGAGAGCAGTGAAGGGGGGGTTGTTGGCAGGCACTAGTGCTAGTGTGTCAGATGCTGAAGATTATTGAGCTGTTCTACCTTATTATTATAGTATAGATCAGCAGGAGAAGAGAGCACAAACTCTTTGCATGTCATTAATATCGATAGGCTTCCCTACGTGCGACATAAGCAGCAAAGAACTTCATGCCGTAGTTTAAGCCTGCCACATTAGGAGTCCCATTGGCACGCTTTTGCATGTGTTAATGCATGGCAAGGGTGAGTGGGGCCTTGACCAGGAATGGGCAAACTCGGGCCCTCCAGCTGTTGTGGAACTACAAATCCCATGAGGCATTGCAGGAGTAAAATCCTGCATTTCTCTCCCCACTGACTTTGAAAAAGTAGCACCGGAATAAACGCGCATTTTTCAGGTGCTTCCATACAAGTCTATAGGACCAAAAATGCCCCGTTCTGCCCCCAAAATAAGGTCATGTACTTTTTTAATCTTCAAGCTACAGGTGACAGTTGATGCAACGCTCAGATGTGAGCGGGCACCATTTTTATTAACGGGATTTGTCACATTCAGTGCTTTAAAGCGCCAATTCCGATTGTCGCACTGAATGAGGACTAACACTTTCCAAGGAAAGTAACATTTTTATTATACTTTCATGTTATGATTGATTGGGATCATTCCCTAGTTGTATCATATCAAACGTGTGTGTGTGTGGGGGGGGTTATGATTAACCTTTTCTTTTCCTAGATTCCCAGGGGTGAGCAACTCTGGCCCGCCAGTCCCATGAGCCATTGCCAGCCTTAGCCATGACTCCCAGAGACAGATGCATGCTGGGAATTGTATTTTTTACAAACAGCTGAAGTTCCGAGGTTTCCTACCTCTGGCCTAATGGATTCACCTAAGGCGGGGGCAACCAAAGTTCGGCCCTCCATATGTTGTGGAACTACAAGTCCCATGAGGTATTGCAAGACTCTGCCAGTCACAGGCATGATGGGATTCCACAGCTAGAGTGCTGAGGTTTCCTACCTCTGTCCTCATAGATTCACCTATGGCAGGGGTAACCAAACTCCGACCATCCAGCTGGTATTCAACTACAAGTTCCATAAGGCATTGCAAGACCCCGCCAGCCACAGGCATAACTCCTAGAGACAGAGGCAGAATGGGATATGTATTTTTACCATGGCTGGAGTGCGGAGGCTTCCTACCTCTGTCCTAAGGGCTTGTTCACACCAAATGCAGACCAAATCTGCATGAGTTTCTGCACACGCAGTGCAGTGTGTTATACCGCGTTTTTTGCCATGTTTTTGATGCGTTCCTGGACGTTTTTGGTTTAAAATGGGCTTTCAGTGCGTTCCAGTGCGTTTGCATGCGTTCCAGAGCAGGTAAAATAGGGCTTGCTGCGGTTTTTTTACATGCTCTGGAACTGACTGCTGCGATGTGAACTAGAGCCCAAAATACCATTGGAATACATTAGACGCAGTTTTGATCCGGTCTGTAACTGCTCTGCTCCAGGAACGCACTTGGTGTGAACCTCAGCCCTCTAGCTGTGGTGAAACTACAAATCCCATGAGGCCTTGCAAGACTCTGCCAGCCACAAGCATGACTCCCAGGGCAGATGCTTGCTGGGATTTGTAGTGAAAGCTTGGCTGGAGGGCCAGCGTTGCCCACCCGTGGTGTATGATGGGGAGGGGGGCTTGGCGGCGCGGGGGGCGTATTGTGGAACCTGGCCTTGGGGCGGCAGGGGGAGTAAATCCGGCCCTGGTAGGATGGCTCCATGTGCGGATTCGCAGTGACTGGAGGTCAATGTGATCTCTTGGAGGATAAGGTTACTGTCAGGAAGGAAGTGTCTGCGTGTGACTAAAAAGAAGCAGCAGTCTGTCACAATGTTCCCAGCACAGGGTGGGCAGGATATGAGGAAAGCTGACTTCCAGGATCCTCAGGAGAAGGACAGCACAGCCATCAGTCGGATCGCGGAGGATTTTTCATCAACAGTCCCAGCCGTTCAAAAGTACGACAAAAAATCCGCGTGAACCCGGGGGAAGCCCCTCAGGAAATTCCCATGCTGAGCCCCGCCCCCTTCCTTATATACACCAGCAGCCTCCGCTGCTGTCACAGTGAACTGCGCTCCTGACTAGGAGAGAGCCACAAGACCAGCGCCCTCTGTGAGGGATCGGAGTGCTGCACTTATATTTACATTCTTTCTGTTTACAAACTCGGCTCAGACTTTTGTCACTTTGTTCCCCCCCTTGAAGTGGACTGACACTTTTATTTGTTGTTACTTGGTATCCTTTTTTCTCTTGGATTGTTGATCTGGATTGTGCGCTCACCATGTCCTTTATCAGCGATGGCAGCACGGATCCTCTGCTGGCCCGCTTCAAGGTGCTGGAGGAGACGGTGGACAAGCTGCACCGGGAGAACCGGAGCCTGAAGACCAAACTAAAGAGCTACAACACCCTCAGCACCTTCTACCATGAGGCCAGGCAGCAGATCAAGAACCTCAACCGGCAGCTGGCCGAGAAGGAGGCTTTCATCCTGAAGCTGAAGGATGGACATGGCACTGCTGGGCTGGGGGGCAATCAGTTGGAGCCCTCTAAGTCCCTGGTGGACAGCCTGGTGGAGCAGCTGAGCAGTATGAAGAACCAGCTGAAAGAGGCAGAGAGGATCAGCCAGGAGAAAGTGGGGTCCCTCAATCAGGTACAGATCTGACAACAATGTATAGAACTTACTGTGTGGATGGATGGATGTGTGTATGGATGGATGGATAATGGATGTATGTATGTATGTATGTATGTGTGTATGGATGATGTATGTGTGTATGGATGGATGATGTATGTATGTATGTATGTATGTATGGATGGATAATGTATGGATGGATGTGTGTATGGATGGATGGATAATGGATGTATGTATGTATGTATGTATGTGTGTATGGATGATGTATGTGTGTATGGATGGATGATGGATGGATAATGTATGGATGGATGTGTGTATGGATGGATGGATAATGTATGTATGTATGTATGGATGGATGTATGTATGGATGGATGATGTATGGATGGATGATGTATGGATGTATGTATGTGTGTATGGATGGATGGATGTATGGATGATGATGATGATACAACAAGGAGCAGAACACGGGATAAACATTGTAGAACAGTCCTTGTTCTATGGGAGCAGCCATTGTAAGCTTTCCAGTGACGGCTTCCTATAGGATAACTATTTATTTATTTTACTTTATTAAAAAGTAATTTTATTTTTGTTTCTTATTTATATTTTATTTATTTTATTTATATAGTGCTGACAAATTACATAACGCTTTACATAGAGAACATTCACATCAGTCCCGGCCCTAATGGAGCTTACAATCTAAGGTCACACAGGGCCAATTTAGACAGAAGTCCCAATTAACCTTCCAGCATGTCTTTGGAGTGTGGGAGGAAACTGGAGTACCCAGAGGAAACCCACACAAGCACAGGGAGAACATGCAAACTCCATGCAGATAGTATCCTGATCAGGATTAGAACTGGGACCCCCAGTGCTGCAAGGCAGAAGTGCTAATAACTGGATAAGGATTGGAAGCTAATTGCATATTGCATCTGTGCAAGGCTCATATATTCATGTATGATATACAAGGTTTATATATTAATTGGTGACAGGGTTGGGCAATCTTGGCACTCCAGCTGTGGTGAGACTGCAAACCCCATAATGCTTCTGCCTCTGGGAGTCCTGTCTGTGGCTGTCATTCTTGCAATGCCTCATGGGACATGTAGTTCCACAACAGCTGGAGGTTGCCTACCCCTGATTTATGATAAACAAGACTTCTATATTCATTTATGATATACAAGACATATAGTAATATATGATATACGTACTGAAACTTATAAATATCTGTTCATGTCATGAATAATGTATTGAAGCTGCACACCAGGAGAGACTTGTCTAACTACAAGAGGAATGTGCAGTTTACTTGAGTTGTGATATCCTTTGTTCAGATCAGTGAAACAAACTCTTGTACTTTTCCTCTGAGCCGGAGCTTCCTGTAATACAGACCAGTCACTGCTGCTCTCTCTGCTTGTGCAGGGTGACTGGTCTGGTCTCCGCCCCCTTCCTGTAGTTTCCTACAAGCATCTGGTAATGGGTCTCCTCCCACAGCTCTGCTCTCTGCACAGAATATGTACAGCACAGTGAGGGTGTCACTTCTACTTTTATAAGGTTATATCTGAATTTGGAAAGACTTAACAAGCAGTGGGAAGGTGAGGAGGCACTGCAACTATTTTTTCCCTCCATCCCAGAGCTGGGCTATACAACTAACAATCAGAATGACATCAGACCCTTGAAATGCCAGTTCTGGTTGGTCCTCTATTGAACATCATTGCCATTTGCACCATTTTATGAATGACATAAAAAAAATGACATTGCACTTTGCACCGGGGAAAGGTTTTTGCTTGTGCAGTGCAGTTCTGCAAGTCGGTTGTGAAACGTTTTCCTTCACGAGAGGTTCAGAAACGGCTGTAAAGGGCCATGCTGACATTTGCACATGTGTGTCTGTTGGCTTACAAAGCTTTAACACACGGATTAAGATCTTTGATTGTCATTTTTACATCTCTTGAAAATAATCGTCATCTTTTATAAAATAAAGATCCTAAAAACAAAGCCCAATGCATTGGGGCATAGCTCTTTGATCTTGCATGCATTCTTGCAGTAGTGTGTTGTGTTGGGAATGCGTTTCTGTCTCACATCTCCAGATTGACCCTGTCCTCACTTCTGGTGAATGTGCTGTTATCACCTCGTAAGCGTGTGTTGTTGTGCAATTCCCTCAGAACATTGCATGCAAGGTCATGTGTTCAATGGCTCTAATGAAGGCAAGTAAAGCGCATGTGACTTCTCTTTCTGTTTGGAAAGTTTGACGCCCTGCCCATATCCTGCGGTCCGGGGGAACTCCTACATCATCACCAGAGTACAACAGCGGTCTTCTTTATCCTGAACATCTCTATTTCTGTATCTTGGAGAATTTCCTATGTCCTGAACCTGGGGTGACTTCCATCAGTAGTGCAGGCTCCATGGGTGAGTCATTGCACTGTCCACTCCCTTTTCGGCTTTGTAGACTTGTGAGGATACAGAGGATACAGTGAAAAGGGAGCATGCATTTACCCATCGGATGCTGTTTGTTTGGTAGTTACTACAGAGACAGGGCTTAGAGTTCTGTTAAACAGAGTTGGGCTGGGTGCTCGATGACAATTGCCTATTATTAGCAGCTGCAGATTGCCTAACGTTAGTGAGCACATCCTTTAAGGATAGTTATTATTATGATGATGATGATGGACAAATATCTATCCTGTTTAAATAGACAGACAAAGATCCAATCCGGTTTATGTCATTACAATGATCGCTTTGAACTGCGCATAGCCAGCATGGTATGTCATCACTGTTTGCACTATAACTGCAAATACATTCTTTCATCAGTCAATCTTAATATGGATTTTTAAAGCTATAAAGAGTTCCCTTTTCCTGAGTGCCCTGGTGACATCACGGGTGCCCATTTTGTAAGTGGCAGCATCCAGGTTCATAGCCGGGGGGCTGTGTCACCCGCACCCCTATCCCTCAACGTAGCTCTCTAGCCAATTGAAGAGGGGCATGCCAGGACACAAGCTTTACAGCAAGTCTAACCAAACTCTGGTCCCTCAGCTGTGGTGGTACTACAAATCCCATGAGGCATTGCAATCCTCTGACAGCCACAGGCATGGTTTCCAGAGGCAGCTGCATGGTGGGATTTGTAGTTTCCTCACAGCTGGAGGGGTAAAGTGTGGCTAGCCCTGCTTTAGAGGTAGTTCCACAACAAGCTCCTACTCTAATATATAGCAAAAGAGAGCAACGGAATTAAATATTTCTCAAAGGTTGAGAACGCAAAGCTTTAGAGATCAGTCCAGTCCCCTGGTGTAGGCTTAAGTTAACATCGGATCAACATTTAGAACTAACTGCATAACTTCAATGAGCCTGTTGGATTTTAATTTTTTATTAATCACATCTGCCCTGGAAAAAATGACAGCTGGAAATGTATTGGGGCAAATTGCACAGTTAATATAGAAAACACTTTTATAAGTAATAAATCAATCCTTGCAAATGTGTTCCTAATACAAATGCATTGCAACAAAAACTGTACATTTGTATTCGTTCTACATTGTAAGTTATCACTTCCAGGGTCCTCCTTACCATCTTGTCTTCCTTTTATTGTAAAGCTGTATAATAATAATAATAATAATAATAATAATAATAGTAGAGTCCTATTCATCACATGGTCTGTTCTCCAGCAGAGAATGTGTACGGAGGTGTGCTGCATGCTGACATATTTGTGTTCCTTCTATGACAGGAAATCCAGAGGCTTCATCAGCAGCTAGAGGAGAGAAACCAGAAGATGCAGAAAATGTCCAGCTGGCCATCACATGAGAAGGAGATGGAAATCTTCCGCCTGCACCAGTCGCTGGCGGAGAAGGAGAGAGTTCAGGCTACTAGTGAGGTCCTGTGCCGTTCTCTGTCTGATGAAACCCACCAGCTGCAGCGCAAGTTGGCCGCCACCGCCGAAATGTGCCAACAACTCGTAACGTGCCTAGAAGAGACCCACCGGAAAAATCACGTGACATCAGAAGAGCAGCAGGTTTGTACTTCATTTATATTGCACCTGCATGGAGTCTGTCTGTTCACTTTTCGTTTGTGTGTGCCACTTCCCATTCACACTTCAAAGCATAGGGACCTCCTTCTAAGATACCAGTTTCCTGGCTGTTGGTGGCTGATTTTATGATTCACTGACCTGGAACAAGACATCAGCGAGTGACATTCGAACTCTAGGGGGGATTCATTTATAAAAGTTCTGCCTGGATGCCATTCACACAGCACTAGCAGCCCTAGGTGGCACTGACGTGTATAGGAAATTCCTATAAAGTAGGGGCACTATTGCTGTGTGAACTGTAGACATTAGGTAGAACACCAATAAGCAAAGACCCTTGATCTTGTTCTAGTTCTCAGAAAGCATTGAAGCAACTGGATCAGGATGGCAGCCAGGCAATGCGTATTTCAGAAATGAAGGTCTATGTGTCTATTTTAGTACTGGTTGTGGTAAAATGTGCTTTTCCCACTTGTTAAATACTGGAAAGTAACACTCATGTCTCCTGATTGTTTTATAGAATCAGAACAAGGACAGTGAGAACGAAGCAATCCTGAGCAAGTTACAGGAAGAAAACCGTTTATTAAAACAGAAAGTGATACACGTAAGTCTATGTAAATATTGTGATATTTTTATACCATACTTCCTCTTTTCTCTTTACTGGAATGTCCTGATGTATCAAGTTGATGAATTGAAGGCATTTTGAATGTCTGGCAGAATGTCCTGATTTACCACAAAGAAATACTCCGCAGAGAGTCTAATGATGTCATTGTTCCCCCAGGTGGAAGACTTAAATGCCAAGTGGCAGAAGTATGACGCCAGCAGGGAGGAGTATGTGAAGGGTCTCCACCAACAACTCAAGGAGATGAAGGCGCAGAAGGAACATATGAAAAGTGCACCCTCAGTACACAAACACCCAGACCTCTTACAGAAGGAGATCTCCAGACTCAACAGGCTTCTGGAAGACAAGATGAACGAGAAGATAAAACTTCAGGAAGAAGCCATGCAAACAGCCAGTGCCAGGATCGCTGATCGGGAGAGAATACAGATGCTGGAGCAGCAGGTGGGACCTGTTTATTGATGCATGTAGATTCAGACTAACCCTTTACCAAATTTATGGGTAGTATTTTTTTATTACTAATATCTGTAACATCTACAGGTTTAAAAACATAGATTTTATGATCCGTATGGTGCGTTGAGTTAGTAATCATTGCTGTTTATTTTCTTACAGTTGATGGTCTACAAAGATGATTTCACATCAGAGAGGGCAGATCGGGAGAGGGCTCAAAGCCGCATTCAGGAGCTGGTCGAACAGATTTCATGTTTACAGAAAAAGGCAAGGAGAACGGTAAGAACTGGAGTCCTTCTGTTGTAATATACAGGACTGGTGTACTGCTACTGTATTAGCATAACTGATGGTAGTAGTACTGCTATTTTATTTGCAGGATTGTTGTTGTTGGTGGTAGTACTGCTACTTTACCAACAAGACTGGTGGTGGTGGTGGTGGTGGTAGTACTGCTACTTTACCAACAAGACTGGTGGTGGTAGTAGTACTGCTACTGTACCAACAAGACTGCTGGTGGTAGTAGTACTGCTACTGTACCAACAAGACTGCTGGTGGTAGTAGTACTGCTACTGTACCAACAAGACTGGTGGTGGTGGTGGTAGTACTGCTTCTTTACCAACAAGACTGGTGGTGGTAGTAGTACTGCTACTGTACCAACAAGACTGCTGGTGGTGGTGGTAGTACTGCTACTTTACCAACAAGACTGGTGGTAGTACTGCTACTGTACCGTCGAGACTGGTGGTGATATAGTATTGCTACTGTACCGTCAAGATTGGTGGGTACTGCTACTGTACAAGCAGAGCTGGTGGTAGTAGTACTGTTTTTGTATCAACAAGGCTGATGGTGGTAGTACTTGTATTGGCCTGACTAGTGGTGGTAGTACTGCTACTGTACTATACTAACACATACGCTTGTTCCCTGACACTTGCAACCACCAGTGACCCCTAATTGTCATTGAGTCTATACAGGCTTCAAGTCTGAAGAGACTAGCCCTAGGCAGCGTTACTGGTATTGGCTGTGCAGGCAGAAAGGCCGTATATGCACGTACACCTCAGCAAATACACAAACAGGTTTACATGACTGATTCACATATGAACTGATCACTAATATGATAGAATTTCAACTTTCGTAGGCTGGAAGTGTAATAGTATTTCCTTTTTTTTTTTTCTTCTAAAGGATGAAAAATATGTTGGAAGCCAGTTTCAAATTCAAATCGGCAACCAGAACAAAACATACATTCAGAAAAAATCCTCTGAGCCTCTGCGCGGCCTTACCACCGAGCACGCCGAAAGCCGCAGACAGCTTTCCGCAGCAGACAACCCAGAACGACAGAGGAGCCCCAACTCTGAACATAGAGGACAGGATGAGCTACAGTGTCCCCGCTGCTTGGAGGTCTTCCATGACAGACTAGGGGAAAACTTTCTAGAACACATCGCTGAATGCTGCCAGTGAGCGGGACTGCTGTACTTCCAATCTGATCACTACACCCCACAGGCTTTGGTCGCCTGTGATGAAGATGCTGCTATCAGGCTGGGAAAGTGTGAGGCAGAAGCAATATGGCCTTAGTGCTGCCTTTCACACTGCTGATTCTTTGCCAGTACAGACAGGGCCAGGTGGTTGGCAGAAGGGCAGGACCTGTATCCTATGCTGCTGAAGTAGTTTACAGCTCATGGGGCAGTGGTGCACTTTAGCCTTTTCGCCTTGGCTGCTAAAGGACCTGGCCCTGGCACTGAGTACGAGGATGAAAACTGACACTTCATAGAAGTGCCCTTAGGAGGCCGTTGGCTACATGAGCTATACAGAGTTCTTAACCTCTTCCTGCTGGCATAACGTATATATGCGGCAGCACGTTGGGTGCTGAGAGTGATCTCGCTGCCCACTCCCAGCACACTGACCGAACTGCAACACAGACAGCTCCTGGTCACCATAAACATTTGGGAGCTTCCCGATTATGTGATTGCTGTGATAGCCAATCACAGCATTCACATAATCAGGACTATGCCTCCAAACGTTAAGACCTCGGCAGCAAGGGGTTAGGAACTAATAATAAAAATACTTGGTGAAGAAATAAGTACCACACTCAGGGCTCAAATACACCCGTCCATTGCAGTGGTCTGAGATATTCTGTGACTTTGCGTTAAAATGTGACTGTAGTGAATAATGGGATATATATATATATATATATATATATATAAGTACTGTACAGGACCTTCAGTGGGATTATTTAGCATGAAGTGCAGACGCAGTGTAACCCATGGCATCCAGGCGGAAGTCTGCACTGTTTGGTGCAATCAGAAAAATTAATGCTGATTGGCTGTTGTGGGTTATGACAGTTTACAGAGCGTCTTTGCATTCTTAAATAAAGATCCTAGTATACCACCAAATGTGTAGTCGATAGATAGGTCAGAAGTGTTTGTACTGTAATTGTGTGAGGTTTACAGGGATACATTTATGTCTATATGTACTGTGACAGGTGCCCTTTGCTGGGACACAAATCAAATTGTTGCGTGCTTGTTGTTCCATGGCCAGTTATGTTCCGGATATGAAGGGTTGCATTAAAGCTGAACTCTGGGCACACAAACTCCCATTCAAATATATATATATATATAAAGGATAGAAATCCACTTTGTTTGCACCAAATCCCTTTTCAAACCTAGTAAATGCCTTGAAAAAATAGCTGTGACATCATCACTGTTCTGCACATAGCCTGTGCAGAGAACATAGCTGTGGGAGGGGCCCAACAGGCTCCACCCACTACAGGCTACCTTTAGACAACTAAGGGAGGGGGCGGATGCAAGACCAATAACCCTGCACAACGAGTGAGAGCAGCGGTGGCCGGTCTTTATTACAGGAAGCTCCTGCATAGGCTGGATTGGTGCACGGATCTGGAAGAAATACACAATGCACACCAAGATTCAGGGGAGAACACACATGACTTTTGTATTTAAACAATATTTGCTTATCCCGGAGTTCAGCTCTAAAGAGCCATCAATCCTGATAACGGCCGTGCCCTATGCAATGTGACAAATTAGGATGAGACGTTTAGGGACAACCTTTGATCCAAGGGAGACATTTTTCGGCACACAGCTGACTTCCTGACAGAAAGCGGCAGCTTTTTATGGCTGACTGCATGGAGGGGAAAGTTCCAATCTGTTGCGGGATAGCTATAGTATAGGTGTGAGACTTATTTCATACATTTAAAGACGGTTTGTAGATGGCATAGTTGGGATTGATGGACTCTTTAGATACATGGACGCTCCTTACATTTCCCCTTTATGTATGTGTTTTATCACGTAAGGCTTAGTCTAGGTGTAAAGAAGATGACGTCTCTTGGGCAACGAGCGGCTATAATCTTAGGTTTGCTCAAAAGGTTTTTAATTTAATAAAAAAATCACCATTAAGAAGTAAAAACAATTGATCTTTCTCTGTGACCAAGTTTATAAATCCAGTAAATGACTTGATGTCATCAAATCTAGTAGTTAAAGTGCAACTGAAGCCAAAATCCTTTTTTCTTAGCTTTGGATAGAGTGGAGAGGGATTTGAACACATTTTATTGTTGTCTGTGTCCCCATTAGTGAGATTCACCCCTCCTATTTGTCTTGGTGACCCTTATCACTGTAAGTTAAAGAAAATCCCCAATTTTGGGTGGTCACCAGAACCGGAATAGATGGGAAATGTTCTGATGCTGTCCACCAGGGACTTCCCTCACCTTGGCCTGTTGTGGCTATCGAACAGGAAGTGAAGGGAAATCTTCCCAATGGGACACAGATGGCAAAAAAAGCTGGCATGGGTTATAACCCTCCTTTATCCAAAACAAAGAAGTTTTGGCATCAGTTCTACTTTAATCCTATATTACTGTAGCACCAATCAGCTGTCACCACAGCCCTTATCTCTCCTGTGACTGGTAAAGGAACAAGCCAATCACCTCTGCTGCTACTGGGTCCCTGGCCCTTCTAAAAGTGGACAGGTCACCACTGACTAGATAACCCTTGTCCTCTTGACCCACGAGTTTATCAAAAATAGGGGCTCTGAATTTGTTTACTAAAAGGCACTTAATATTGTCCTATTTATATTGATTACTGTTTTTTTTACATGTGTACATATTTTTTGTCTGTTATTTATTTATTCCAGAAAATGATATAATTTAATCCTTATTTTTTATAATAAAATTACATTAATGTAACACTACTGTTGTGAAAGATTGGAGGGTTTTATTTCCAAAAATGTTTTTCTTAGTAATCTGGGTAAACACAAGACATTCCTAGAGTGTTGGAGCCAGTGAATAGAAATCTGTCTGGCGGTAGTGCCACAAGTGGCGCCAACATGGCGGAAGATTCATGTACATGTCGATAAGGTGTATATGAAGTTGTCACAACTCTTAACAGAACTGTCTCAAGAAGTGGTGGAGTTTTACCGGCAGAGAAGCTACTTGCAGAAGTCAGGAAAGTAATGGAAACGTATCAAATATTAATTCTAGAGACAAATTTTGTTGTAGAATTGTCTCAAAGATGCAACACAGCCAATGATTTGCTCTAACATGGAAGAGGTCTTATTGACCTCCACTTTCCTTATCACCAGTATGGCGGTATGTCTTTATGAATTTGGCACCACACGATCTAAGTGTCGCAAACAACAACTACTTGAATTTGTTGGAGACATTGGTGCTAACAATGCGAATAAAAAAAGTATATGTATCTTGCTGCACTCCTTACCGGAGTTCTGTAATAAATACAGGTGGGTGCTTGTAGTGACCACGGTTGGCGCCGTGAACAGTATGCTGATGAAACGGATGTCACCAGCACACCAATCTATTTGTGTTCAGCAAATGTCAGATTCTGAGCCTGATGAAGGGGACCCTGCGAGGCCCCGAAAGTACTTGCAGTTGAATGACAATTTGTCTCATTAAAATGGACATTTGCTGAACACAAATAGATTGTTAGCAGATTCAAATTATGTCACCAGCACACCAATGAGAATGTCGCAGGGTTCTCAAGGCTTCCAACTACATAGACACCACCAGAAATGTGACACAAATGCCTTATGGAATTACCCACCACTGTCTTCACTGCTGCATAGTTGTTTAACAGGGTAGTCCATGCAAAACTGATTATTACATTTTTGGTGAGTGCTGGAAGGTTGGGCAGCCTACACGCTTTTACTACATCTCAAGGACTGCAATTTTTGAGTTCTAATGTGTTAGTACAAAATGGTCTCACGCATTATTATGAAATGGTCTTGCTTTCCTCACTGGATTTTTTCATTGTTTTACTATGGAGGATGCTGTTAAAGGAGTTAATCTCTACCATGAAAGCAAAAAAGATGGGGAGTGGGGGGGGGGAGGGGGACCATGGACCTTCGTCCTCACAAGGACATTATGAGGAATGGAGGGAATTTTGTATCTCTCACATGAGACATACAGGGTTATTCACAAAAGGGTGATGAGCTTGGAGAAGGCAGGAGAAGTGAACAACCTAGGCCAAAATAGCTGATTTGGAAAGATTCTCCAATTCAGCTCACTTTCCTGTTCAGCTATATTGCCCTAGATTGTTCTTCCTTCCTCACTTCCTGTCCTGCAATCAATTGATTTCACCCCACAGAAAGTGAGGGAAACCTTTCAAAGGGACACAGACAATAATGGAAATCTGACAGGGGATCCAGTGTTCCCCTGTCTACCAATGAAAAGCATTTTTCTGTCTGTGTTGCTGTCGGAGAGTTCCCCTCACTTTCTGTCAGGTAAAATGTTGCCAGCAGGACAGGAAGCCAGGATAAATCTGGGAGCCCAGGATCAGAGTAAAGCCACAGGGGTCCTAACCTTCCCCACTCTATCCAAAAATATGAAAAACATTTTGGCTGGACATACACTTTAATTAAATAACTGTTCGTATGCCAATTCTAGAAGCATAAATAGCCAAGTGATATTATATACCAAAGGATAATTCAAACTCAGTTACATAGTTAGGCTGAAAAAAGACACAAGCCCATCAAGTTCAACCAATAGAAGAAAAAGAAGAATACATAGAAAAACTCCATAAAAACTATTCTGTGGCCTCAGGTATCCAAGCTGATCCAGAGGAAGGTAAAACAATCATATAAAGCAGGTCTCAACATTTCCACTCGCCTGCTCGCATTTGGCAAGTACAAATAAAGTGAGGGTGAATGGAAAGTAGCGGCCCGTGAGCCGGTACTCTGTGGCCCGCAGCCAGCTGACATGTCAGGCACACGGTCGCAGATCGCGTAACTGACTTGCGTGAGCAGCTCCATGGTCTGCATCTGTGTCGGATGCAGACCGCAGAGGGTGTGTTTAGGGCGGAGTTAAGGCCGGGGCAGGGTAAGGGTTAGGTGGGCCAACTGGTGGCTAGTAACTCTTGAGGCCTGGCTAGTAGCTCAGGACTTGAAATTTGGAGCCCTGATATAAAGCATGGCTTAATTTGCTCCAAAAGATGCCCTAAGGCAATCAAATATTCCCAGGATCAACAATCTCTGGAGTTATTAAATGTTACTATCCAGTTATATTCTGTTCATTTAGGAATCCATTCAGATTTTTTTTTTTTAAACAATTAACTGAGTTGGCTAGAACTAGTTCCCGAAGAAGCCTATTTCACATTTTCACAGATCTTACTCTGAAGAAGAGGTTAAATCTCTTTTCCTCCAGATGC